CACAGGGGAGCATTTGATGGCCTGCTTCTGATCTCTCACTGCTGCCCTGTATTGCGTAACTGCGTGTGTCGCAGATAGGACCAAGACTCAAAACCGTGGATTTGAGAATGTGGTGAAGACATGGTGAGGTTTGTGTGGTGTTCTGTGCTGTCAAGTCATCTGAATTATGCTTATTTCCTTTTCAAAATATTTATTTTTATTTATTTATAAGTCAGAGTTAAAGAAAGAAGGGTAGGGAAAGAGAGAGAGAGAATTGCCACCTGCTGAGACCCGGCGCGGTAGCCCAGTGGCTGAATCCTCTTTTTATATTTGCCAAGATCCCATATGGGCAAAGATTCGTGTCCCAGCTGCTCTGCTTCCCATCCGGCTCCCTGCTTGAGGCCTATGAAAGCAGTAAAGTGTGGCCCAAAGCCTTGGGATCCTGAATCCACGTGGGTGACACAGGGAGGCTCCTGGCTCCTGGCCCCTGGCTTTAGATCAGCTCAGCTCCAGCCACTGCGGCCGCTTGGGGAGTGAACTGTCAGATGGAGGATCTTTCTCTCTGTATCTCCTCTCTGTATATCTGCCCTTCCAATAATAAAATAAAATAAATCTTTAAAAAAAGAATTGCTACCTGTTGATTCACTCTCCAAGTAGCCATGATGGCCAGGGCTAGCCTAGGACAAAGCCAAGATCCAGGAGCTTCTTCCAGGTCTCCCCCAGGGGCACAGGGTCCTGGGAAATTACACACTCCCCCTTTGTTTCCCCAGACACATTAGCAGGGAGCTGGATGGGAGTGGAGCACCAGGGTCTTGAACCGGCACCCAGGCAGAATTCCTGATGCTGCAGGAGGTGTCTTTGTCTTCTGCATCACGATGCTGTCTATAACACAAATTTATTTTCAGTAAAAACATTCATTACTCAAACAGACAGAAACATCTCATATTCTGCAACTGTTTATTTGACAAGCATCTGTGGCATAACCTTGGCCTCCTCTCAGGAAAGGCTGCAAAACCCAAGCGAGTACTAAGTCCGCCATGTTTCAAGGGATGTGGCAGAAAAGCCCTGTAATGGTAGAACGGAGAGCTCCTGTGTTCCCTGCAGCGTCTGGTTCAGATGGAAAACCAAACCATGCGTCCGTTGTTTCCCTCCCAGTGGGTGACAAGTCAGCCAGAGCATACGCACTGATGGTGTCACTGCAGTGCAGTGGGTGAGAGAGCGACTTCTACGGTGTGGACAAGGGACCGAGAATGTGTTTCTGGTTCTCTGAACCAACATCGAGTAAGAAAGGGATGCTTCTGGAAAATTCTTCTCCTTCAGTTGCCCCCGTGTTTTCTATGCATGCCCTGCTTATCTTACACTTGCTAGACTAGGGAATGAGGAGTCCCCAGAGTTGGGGCGGTGAGACCCAGAATGAGTGTGCAACAAACACTTTAGGCGGTTATGGGTGCCTTCCTCCAAGGTGCTTCACATTCTAGATCATCTTCCCCTGATGTGTACAAGTGTTCTGGATGCTAAGTGCAGGCTGCCCAGCTTCAACCTCATTCTGTGTCCATCCTGGCTGGGACCCACAGCCACTCACTCATTCTCTCTATTCTCATTAACCCTGTGTGGAATGGAGATGTTGACAGCAGGTGCTGCACCCAGTACTGCCATGAAGAGTGAGAATTGCTAAACTCTCAGAATAGGACTCACACATGTAACACTCTGCTTTTTTGCTTGCAAATTTCAGAGAGAATTGGCCGTGACCGTAACATGACACTCAAATGACGAACACAGGAGTTCCCTTAGAATGACCAAAAACATGGCTCTATTTTGTCTTTCATTGGACTAAAAGTAACTAAAATTGGTGGTGGGGGGAGGGGATTTTTTTTTCTCACTATTGTAAAGATGCTAATTTCAAGCCTGGAGTCTGCTGATCTCACTTTGATGTTTACTACAGTGGAAGCTGAAGTGAGAACATTTAGTGAGTTGAATTGCATTTCATGTTGTAAAATGAAAGCAAGACAACCCTACTATGCGTTTCTCCTATTCAAACTATTCACATGTGGGGGTTGGCATTATGGCTTCGTGGGTAAAGTCATTGCTTGTGATGCTGCCATCCTACACGGGCACAAGTCTGTCTCATGACTACTCCACTTCTGATCTAGCTCCCTGCTAATGAGCCTGGGAATGCAATGGAAGATGGCCCAAGTGCTTGAACACCTGTTACTCTCATGGGACACCTGGAAGAGGCTCCTGGCTCCTGGCTTCTCCCTATCCCAGCGTGGGGCTTTGTAACCATTTGAGATGTCAACTGACAGATGCGAGCCTCTGTCTGTCTGTCTCTCCCTTGTTTTCTGTAACTCTGATTTTCAAATAAATCAATGCATCTTTAAAACTGTTCACAGGCATTTTGGGGAAAGATCTGGGGGCAATGTGTTCACCTGTCTCTTTGCATCTTTATTTGATGAGAAAATCTATTTTAACATCATAGAAAAACTTTGTGATCCACACCCAGTGTGCTTCTCTTCAGGTGTGGAAATGAAACTATAATGAATCAAAAGCAAATTAAAATGGGTTGTTCTTCAAGGCTCATGATGCACAACGTCCCCGGTTTCTGTGGTTGCATAAGTCTCACTGGCTTTCAGCTCCCTGGACGATGCTTGACCTCGCTGGCGAAGACAGGGACTAAAAGGGAAGAGTAAATTCATTCATCTAAACAGACTCACTTTGGACGTTTTCATTTTCCTGACCAATTTCTTTCTCCCAAAGGTCAAAATCCGTTTTCACTGAAATTCCCTCCTAATTCCTCTCCCTGACACCAAAAATACCAAGACTTACCCACTTCACTCGAAAACAGATGGAATTTTCCAAAGGGACAGGAAACTAAGTTGCAAGTGAAGACATTCTGTGTTTTGATATTAGTATGGGTATTTCAGAGATAAATGTTTGGAGCCAGGAAAATTAGTATCATGAGGAAATAATGCATGTGTAGGCAGTGTTGGAAACATACAGGACCAACTCCATGGGAACTCAGGCTGTTATTATTATTTTTTTTAATTTTCTTCTTGTTAGTACAGCTGTGAACATGCATCAAGTGGGCCTGTGTATTTCCAGGTCCATCCACAGACAGTAGCTGCTGCCTCCTCATTGTCAACTCTTGACTTCGCTGCATGGGCTCCAGCCACATTAGCAAAGGATGCTGAAGGCACATCCGTTTCTCAGCATCTCCAGGGGCTGAGCAAGCTTCTTCCAAGGCCCTGGGTCCTTCCTGCCCACAGCCCAGCCATGACTTTCAACCTCTTTCATTCCACTTCAACCTTGACCCGATTAGTGAGAACCCTCCTGCCACAGCTGGCTTGGGCCTTCCCAGCCTTGAAGGGTCTAGTGCCTGCCAACGTTATCACTCCCTGAGATGTAACAAATCCACTGCAGAGCTAGGAAGCAAAGGTTCGTAGTAATTAAACCTCCAGCCTGCAACATGGGGAGAGAAATCTAAAATCTAGAGATGGTCAAAATCCCAGAGACTATGCATTAACTAGAGCTGGCAAGGCCTTTCTGGACATGCGCCTTTGAAGATGTATGTCCATGGCTTCTCTGCGGCTAACCCACAGATGGGTGTGAGGATCTCTCAGCTGCGGTGATGCCCCGTCTGGGGGTTAGCCGCAGCGAAGCCGTTGGCATACTTCTTTGCTCTCTGGTGAAGCTGGATTTTTGGATGCTTCCCTGCTAGAGATGATTTTACCATGCGTGTAGCTTTCACATTTCATTAAAAATGTTTCCTTGAAACCCCTGTCTTGGGTCGCAACACATTAAGCCAGGACCTGCAAACCAGGGTCTCATGTCTCTGTATCAGGATGCATGTGTGAGATTCAGCGGTTCCACTTCTGATCAAATTCCCTGCTAATTCTCCTGAGAGGCAACAGAGGATGACCCGAGTATTTGTGAGGCCTGGGAAGTCCCAGGTTTCTAGCTTTGGCTTAGCGCAGCCCCAACCATTGCAGCTATGTCTAAGAGTAATCCAGTGGAACAAAGATCCCTTTTTGTCTTTCTGTGTCATTTTGGCTTTCCAGTAAGTGAAATAAACCTTTAAAAAGAAGTTTTCACTTTCCAGGAAGGTGGATTTGACTTGATGGTGATGATGGTGGCTTTGTACTAACAGCACGCTGTTGCCTATTGCCAAGTCAATGACTTCCTTCCCACATCCATTCAGTTACCTTCCCATCCCTTCCCAGGGGGTTCTCTAGGCTACTGGAGCCCGCTTTGTGCTACCTACCCCAGAGCCAATCCCCACTGTTCTCTGTCCTTTCTGCTTGTGCCCAAGCTTGGCGCATGGTGAGAGTTAAAGCTCCAGATCAAAAGGGTGGTGATGGGGGAGTAAAATCCAAGACAAGGATTCCCTGCTAAGGTGTTCCAGAGGCCTGTGCTCCAGGAGCGTTCCTGCTGAGAATAGATATGCTTGGCCACCCCCAGAGTCTGTTGGCTGTCCCACGGCGGAAACCAAATGTTCCATTCCCTGCAGGGTCCCTAGTCAGCTGTGACAGAGCTAGAGCAGGAGTCTAGAATGCCATCCGGGTCTCCCAGACTGGTGGCAAGAACGCAAGTGCTTGGACTGTCTGCTGCTTTCCCAGGCTTGTAAGCAGGAAGTTGGATTCGAAATATAGCAGCTGAGACTCTACCAGGTCCTTATATGGGATCTCGGTGTTACACGTGTTAGCTTTAGCTGCTGTGCCACAATACCAGCTCCAGGGGCAGGTTTGACAGGAAGCTCTCAGAGCAGCTGGCCTGAGAAGGAGAAACCATCTTGTACAACTATTCTACTCCTGTGATAGGAGCTGTGCCCTAAGAATCTCAGTCAGTCCCAATTTCTTCCCAAGGGCCCCACCTCCAGTCCCATCACGTGGCAAGTCAGGGCTCCAGCAGAGAAAATGGCAGGGGTCACAGACATTCAGACCACGTGGGCCTTGCACTCACCTTGATCACAGGAGCTGTGCATCTGTTGCCGTAGTAACGGGAGTCTCTGTCCTCTTTCCCTCCAGGAACTCCCCTGATGAATGCAGCGTGACCAAAGGCGGGAAGATGGTGGGCAGCCCTGACACCGTGGGTATGAGCTATGGCAGCTACATGGAGGACAAGCACATGCCACCCCCGAACATGACCACAAGCGAGCGCAGAGTCATCGTTCCAGCAGGTTAGATGCCCACACGCCTCAGTGTCCCCAGTTAGCAAACCCCGCCTCCCCTGGGGACGGAGCATCACCCAGTGTTTGCACACTGTGCAGCCCCGGGCACATCAGCTGCCTAGAGCAATGTTTGAGAGTGGAAGCCAGCAAGACTTGTCCACAAGTGGTGAGATGCTCTGTGGACTCCTGTGAAGTGAGAGTAATGACAAACACATGTGCTATTACGCATGCACACCCCACGCACAGGAACATGTGTGCTAGGTTCTAAAAACATGAGAGAGCAGTGTATAGCTCTCTTCATCTTGCCATATAGTAAATAATCACACACACACACACACACGAGGGTACCGCAACCTCATGTGACATGAAGTTAAATGTAAGTGGGGCAGGTGTTTGGCCTGCTCCGGGTGCTGGAGGTGATACCTGCATTCTTTACTATCAGAGTGCTTGAGTGCTGCTGCCTGGTTCCAGCTCGTGTCCAGCTTCCCGCCAGTGGGGCCCTTGGGAGGCAGTGATGATGGTTGAGTGATTGAACAAAAAGACCTGGATGAGTTCCTGATTCCTGACCCTGGCCTTGGCCTAGTCCCGTTCAATGCAGATGTTTCAGGAGTGATGGAAGCACTCTCTCTGTGTCTCAGCTTTAAAGTTTCAAAGAATCTAATTTTGCTTTGATGCAAAAAATTTGAAATCTTTGCACAGAATTTTCAAAATATGCATTTTCTATGGAAATCTATATATGTATTGTACATGCATTTATGCACTTAATGTTTATATGTGGGAGTATACATGTATATGTGGAGAAAATACTGAGAATGTTTAAATGCACAAACATGGACCCTTGCGCACATACACATGCATGTAATTGAGTCTGTGTATGTCTCTAAGAAGTGACTTTTCTGGAGAGAAGTTATTCTTTCTCTGAGAGCATACAATGTTAAAAAGCCAGTGTTTTATGACATGTTACTTATAATTTTAAAAAATATTTACTTATTTGAGGAATGGAGCTGGTGAGAAAGAGAGGGACCTTTCACCTGCTGGTTCATTTCCCAAGTGGCCACAACAGCCAGAGCTGAACCCACCTGAATCCAGGAGCCAGGAGCACCTCTGATCTCCCCAGGGGTTCAGGGACCCAAGGGCTATGGATCATCCTCTGTTGACCTCCCAGGCACAGAAGCAAGGAGCTGGATATAAAGTGGAGCAGCCTAGACTCATACTGAGGCCCGTATGCAATGCAGGCGCCACAGGCGGCAGCTTTACCCACTGGCCCCACCTCATTTATTTAAAAAATTTCCTTCTCTGTCATACTAAGAATTTGGAAGCCATATTTTGTTTTCTCACATGATCATGAACATTAATAGTTCTGGTTCCCACTCACCTGTCACTGGTTCTAAAAACCAGAATAATTCTTTGCCAAAGATGTAATTCAAATCTAGCTCGGAGGTAAAGATTCCTAGTATTGCAGGGAAACATGAAGAATGTGTGATTAGAATAGAGCTAAAGTTAATAGGAAACCTGACCTGGGCCTCCCCCAGAAGATGCACACCGCAGTAGCCTACAAGCAAGACTGGTCAGTAGTCAGAAAGCCCTCCCTCTCGCTAAGCATTTGGGAAAACATCCTGGAAGCATTATGACGCGTTAACTGGGGAAATGGGGGTCTGTATTGTAATTTCCCTGTGATGAAAATAAAACTCAGAGAGGTGATGAATTCTCCAGGGTGCACACAGCAAACGGGAGGCCAAGGTGCGAATAGGCTGGCTGCCTTGCTCCCTGCCTGTTGCCACTGGATTCTATCTCAACTCCTGACACCAGTGGGTTCCCTCACTCACTGCAGCCTCCTGGTCTCCCTGTGGTTCTCTTAAAGTAGCTGAGACCCTGGGATCCAGGGTATCGCTCACCAGGGGCTTCATTCAGACCCTGTGCCAAAGTCCCCTCCTCAGAAAGACCCTTGCTGGTCACCCCTGTCTGCTTCATGACATTCATTCATTCATTCATGTCTGTAATTGCATTGTGCATTTATGTGAATTTTTTTGTTTTGTTGTGTTTTCTTTTGCTTTTAATATCATCCTTCCTCAAAAACATGTAAGCTCCCAAGTCCCCTGTGTGTAGGACCAAGCCAGGCACAGTGCTTGGCTGTGATAGGTGCCAGTGAATACTAACCTGGGGAGAATGTGTGTAAGGCCATCTGTCCCTTGGGCTGCACTGCCCGAGTTGCTCCTCATAGTAAAAGGGTTCATGGAGGGCATGGGTATAACTTGGATTCTCTCTTGCTCCAAGGATCCGTCAGCCCCATCCCTGTTGGGTATGATAGCAGACAAATTCACTTCCCCTATGCCTGGTATGGTTCCCCTGGCCCTACATAAGATCCTAATAACTGGGCTTGCGTCACCTCCCAAAGAGGAGAGTTCTGAGCACAGAGGACTCGGGGAAAAGGTTTGACCTGAGTTGTCAGCTGGGTTTTGCTCCAGGTTTGTCACCACGTGGCTTGCAGCTAACCACATGACAGGTGTAGAAGTATATTGACTGGCCTCATGCCGGATCTGGAAGGACCTTGCAAGGCTGTCATGGCAGACACAGGTGGTGGACACCTCGACAGAGGCCAAAGTTTGACCCTGGTAGCTGAGCTATGTGGCTGAACCTGCACATTCCCCACTGGGCCCTGACTCATGAGTCAGTGTATGTGGGGGAGAAGCCAAGAGCCAGCTAAGTCAGAGCATCCCGCATTTCTTACATGCATTAAGGGCTCATTAAAAGTTGGTGGGATGATAGAAACATGTGTACACAGAATCATATTACTTTTTTGTTGCAAAGACTGTGCTTTTCGCCCCTCTCCCCTCCAGGGGAAAATGCTCTCTCAGCTGTTCCCTCCTTGGGTTGCTTCATGCCAACGCAGGCAGTTATTCGGTTGGTCATGCTTGCAAGAGCCCTTGCTTGTGGCTGATTTTGCAAGTTGTGAGTCTTTCAGTTATTGGTCAAGCTTTATGGGTGTGTGCTCATACACAAAGAGATGAACACACACAGATACAAAGCTCATTGCACAATCTGGACAATTTTCCATTGTGGCCATGAGGTTGCAGGTGCCGTCTTGGTGCTGGCATTAGGAGTGAGGCTCCTCACTTCGGGCACCTGTGAGGCATAGAGTGCCACCTTTACTCAGATGGAATTCTGGTTGTGGTTGGCTCATGCATTCCCTCTGTGTACACTTGTTTGGCATCCATAAACATAGAGCATAAAGACAGCTGATTCACTCTCATTTATCACACAGCGTTTTCATCATCCATCAGCTACACACGGACCCTTCATGTTCTTGTGTTGATGTGATCCTGATACACACGGACAGGAGAAAAGGGATTGAAGGCACATGTGACCTGGGGCTGTTTTCCACGGTCAGATTGGGGCCCTCATACTTCTCAGTTTTGAGAAGTGATACCCTTAACTCTGTAAAGAAATCCGTAAATACCATCAAATGAGTGAATGTGTCCTTTGATTAGGTCAATATACGTCCATTTTTCAGAACACAGTTAAGAAAGCTCAAATAAATGAACACAAAAGAGCAAGGTAAGTCAGTGATAATTACAAATGAGTCATACGGGCTAAAGTAGAAATTTAACAGAGTGAAACCGGAATTGAGGAATATGTATATATTTAGAAATGCACACACACACACACACACCCTTAGTAGTTGGCAGATGGATAGATAAGGGTAAGATAGGATACGAAAGGAAAAGATGGGTGGTAGAAAGATATTCCTTAACTTGCGTTGGGTTACATCACAATTCGTCATAAACTGAGGATGCATCAAGTTTAACTTACCTGCTCTACTAATCATCATAGCTTGAACACTTACACAGATTTCGCCAACACAAACTCTTTTATTTTAGTGTGCTGCGCATCTCATGTAATGCAGTGAACAGAATGCTGAAAGATAAAAACAGAATCATCATGAATGCTGTATCCCTGGTCCACAAAAAAAAATTCCAATTTCAAAACCTGAAGTACTGTTTGCGCTGAATGTGCATCACTTTTTGTTGGACTGGGGCCATCGGCATGTATATGTTACTAAACCAAGTGAAGACTCAACCCATCAGGAGAAAGGAGCTTTGTCATAAAGATTCCCTCTTCCGATGTATTTTTGCTAGCCTGACGTTGCTTGAATGCATAAATTATGTGGAGATCATGTTTAGGCACACAGGAAGAGTCGGGGTCGTTAAAGACACATTGCACTATGATGGCCACTGACCTTCACTTGTTTGGTGTTATCTCAAAGTCTTAGTCTGCCAGACTTTTCCTAACAAATCCTTCTCATTCTCCAAGGGATTTTAGAAATCCTTGAGCCTCTAACTAATCAGCTGTCTCTCTTGACATCTCACCAGGTATTTTATTGCCACATTCAATTATGTTACAGATTCTATTCACTAATGCATCTGTGGGCATATTCAAGTGGACACATCATTGAATTCCATAAAGGGGCTGACTAAACTCCGGATAAACACGTAATGCCAGCTACTGATCAAACAGAAGTTAGGGGTGAAGTACTAAGGCGTACAGATAAAAAAATCAAGAGCTTACGAAGGAAGAATATAGTCATTTTGACCACAGCATTGGCCAAGGTGCTATAGCTAAGTTTCCAGGATGGTGTTGAGCCTCCTGATAGCCAATTTTTTTAAAAAAGGATTTAGGGAAATAATTCTAGTTTTGAAAAAGAAGCTTCCCAGGAAAGGCAATGTTTTTTCATCCTGGGGTCCTGGAAGGACTCCTAGACCCTCCCTGGAAGCTCTGATGAGGATGTGACCCTGCCCACTGTCCTGGCAGAGTTCTGGTACTGTGTTTCCACAGCCCGGTCTTTGTAACATACTCTGTGAGCCCTGTGTGAGGTGCATCCCAGAGCATCTCAGCCATGGGCTGATGACAAGTGTGAGCCTCTGTGTCTGAATCTTACTGGCATTACACACTGAGAAGCCTGTTTGTTCTATTAGACATACTCTGCAAGAGGTTGTAGTGGTGGAGTCTTT